AGGAATCAAAGCTTTGAAGTCTTCACAACTGCCCACACATAAAATTAAATACCTCCACTGATGGAAAGGTTGCCCATTGCATCGATTCAAACAAACCCCTTCTTTCTCCTTTCTTGAGAGGTAAATCTGTATTTATGGTTCGTCATTGAGAGTAGCGATTATTACCTTGAGGCACCTGTGGTGGCGAAAACATGAACGTTTGGTTGTCCATGGCAGCGTGACAATTCACTTCTGTGCGTGGTCGATGATTTTAAATGCGAAGCATTTCTCAGCGAACTTTGGTGACTTTGAGCGTATTTATCTATCTATCTATCTATCTATCTATCTATCTATCTATCTATCTATCTATCTATCTATCTATCTATCTATCTATCTATCTATCTATCTATCTATCTATCTATCTATCTATCTATCTATCTATCTATCTATCTATCTATCTATCTATCTATCTATCTATCTATCTATCTATCTATCTATCTTCTATCTATCTATCTATCTATCTATCTATCTATCTATCTATCTATCTATCTATCTATCTATCTATCTATCTATCTATCTATCTATCTATCTATCTATCTATCTATCTATCTATCTATCTATCTATCTATCTATCTATCTATCTATCTATCTATCTATCTATCTATCTATCTATCTATCTATCTATCTATCTATCTATCTATCTATCTATCTATCTATCTATCTATCTATCTAGCCGCCTACGTTTGGGTGCTCTCGTGGTCACCCCCTTAGCTTGACATGAACGAAAATTAGCATGGGATAGTATAATGGTTTGACGAAAATGACACGGTGGTGAAGGCATGAATAATTTCACAATCCTGTCACGTACTTCGTCAAACGCTTCCAGCCGGACAGTGCCACATACCCACAAGCGGGTATGTCAGATAATAAATGTAAGAGTCCCATTTGGAATTAAAGCCAAGCATTCTGCGCAGTGAAGAAGCTATTGGCACACAGCTACGCCAGGTCTCTAAACTACTTTTCAAACAGACGCCAATCGTCATGAAACGTCAGTGGTGGTAGCAGTGCTGCGTACCAAATTTATGTACTCAGTGGTGACGTCGGGTTAACGTCAATTGTGGTTAGTTGCTCTGCGCTGAAGTTGATCTATGTAGCAGTGTCCAGGGCCAACACCTCTCGAGCATCAGTGCTCCTTATTAGCTTCTGGTGTTGCTAATACGCATGTTGCAGTTGCCATTGTTGCACAAGTGCAAACAACTGGTCATATAAACATCTGCAACCCTTCAACATTATGTATGTGCGTGCAACATTCGTACATACATTTAGCGTCATTTCATGACTTGTCGCTCGATAGAGAAAATGCAACACGGTGACATTCCCTACGCATGCTTCATATAATGTGGATTCTCAGGTACGTGGGATCTGCCGAATTTCTCTTTTCAATTAGTATAGTCCTTTTGTTGGTTTATTTATAATTATGACATTACTGTATGGAATGAACACATGTATAGGCGCGCATGAGTAGTATGCTATAATGTGTTGCTGCTTAGGCTGTTACGTAGCTACCCCCTGATCGTCAGTAGGACTTTTTAGCTTGCCTATAAAACCGTGCATACAGTTTCCAACTCACCACAATTAACATCGCGCAAAACTAGAAAACATGACACAGACAGGCCGTAAAAGCTCTGAGTGCGAACTCTTTTATTCTGCTGACGATACCAGCTGTAATGAATACGCAGAACTAGCGGTGTAAAGCAAAAAAAGCTAACGGAAAAAAACTAATCAGCAAGGCAATGCATTGACTCATACCAACAAGTCTAAACAAAAACGTTTCGGAATCTATAGCTCATTTTAGTCCATGCTAGCTCTGGCAGGCTGACCCATTGCTCGCTCCTATCCCCCATCCTTTCCTAGTTTTTCACGCTGTTACACGTATAGGAAAATGAAAGAACTAGCCCAGCAAGCAACCATCTTTTCATGTCGTTAAGATTTTGGAGAGACGTAGTTTTTATAGGTACGTGTCCTCTCAGAAGTGACGTGTACTCTACCCGGCATGGCTATGCATACGCGTAGTAACGTTTTGGTGACGTGGACTCAGTCGTGTATCGACAGAGTAACGTCGCCGGAATAAGCCGCTCATGAGACAGGCGCAAACAACCTTGGGCACAGGCGAATATAAAAAGTATAGAAAAATTGTGTAATACAGCATGACCTCGTTGTAACAGCTTGCTGTATTGAAAAAGTAGATGAAAAGCTCAAAATAAGGCTGGTTAAGCACTGTTACAGGAACTCCTGCGAAAGCTGAATGACGACAGCTTTCTCAAATCGCAGGAAGGACTGGCAGCATCGCTATCCATTCTCTTCGTTGCTCGAGGAAAGTCACATCTGTGTTTATAGACTTTGAAGCCGAACAATACTGCTTTAAAAATAACTACATGTTTTGGGATTACATACCACAGCTGAGAACATTACGATTGCTGATCTTTCGGTCACGTTAAAGGAAGCTGTTTCGAAAAAAATGAGTTGCTGGTCCCTTTAAATTGATTCAGTTTGATTTATTTTCAACTTACGGGAATAATACCTACGCAATCACAGTCACGTTTTGAAGCGGAAAGGGTGAAATTTCGAACAGCCAAGTCAGGTGTTCTGTGTTACAGATGTTTCTTCGCAAAAACACCAACGGTCTTTGGCCAGGGAAGTGTTGGAAGTATACATTCGATCCATGTGAAAAAACAAAACATATTGTGTAACCTGCACCAGGTAGCTTCTTTTCTAACGCACCTGGCTTGGCGATACGGTAGGAAAACCCCACGAAGGACAGAAGTGTTAACTGGACTAACGCACCCGATGGCTTACAAACATGCCGAAGCATATGTAGCCATTTATTTAAGCTGAGCTCGTTTTGTTCAATTTTTTTTTCATTGAAAACAGCTGCAAGCAGTCACCCTTTCAAAGGCCATGACATGGGCTTCATCAGGAAAGCTTTGTGTCAGTGTGTGAGCGCAGCGTCGCGTGAGACTCTAAAGTGAACAATGTGCACAAGACCATTCATCCCGAATATGCAAATAGCAAAACTTAGAAGTAGTTACGCTGTAACTACAGAAGCAAAAAAAAGAGGACAGAAAAGAGCGCCGACTCTCAACAATGATTTGATAGCAAAGTGGTGTACGTATATAAGCGAAAAAAGAAGCGAATGGTCATGCGTAGAAGGGTGCAGTTTACATGCACTGCGAAACAGTTTATGCTAAATTCTTGTCCCTTGTTGATTGAACAAATACATTGCCTAAAAATGATCGAGATACGCAATCTCTTTCTGCAATAGCGCAACTGATAGGGAACTTACACATGTACCTTCAAACTTGCTTATGTGATATGCTTCAATTATCTCACGCGTGGCCTGCGAGTGGTGCTTGCCTATTACCTCGCAACGCTCAAAGACGGGCACGCAGCCGCAGTCTCGGCAGTGGATTCCGAAATGTCCTTGTACCGCACTGTGCACATTATTATTGTGCTCTCTTAAATGATCATTCAAGCACCATTCAGTTTGCCCAATGTATATCATACCCCAGGATAGCGGAACAAGGTATACGACGCCAATAACACAAGACACGAAGCGTGTTTTGTGTTTCACAGAGCATGATTGATTGATATGTGGTGTTTAAAGTCCCAAAACCACCATATCATTATGATAGACGCCGTAGTGGAGGGCTCCGGAAATTTCGACCACCTGGGGTTTTTTAACGTGCACCCAAATCTGAGTACATGGGCCTACACCATTTCCGCCTCCATCAGAAATGCAGCCGCCGTAGCTGGGATACGAGCCCGCGACCTGCGGGTTAGCAGCCGAGTACCTTAGCCACAAGACCACCATGGCGGGGCATTTTTTCACAGAGCATTTTACTCGATATTTAGCTGGATGATTTACTAACCTACAAAGCTTTGATAGCTTTTCTGGGGTGTTAAATGAGACAGTGATACCAGCTCGTTTCCCGATTTTGTTCGCCCTATGCGAAACGTTGAGCAGATAAAGATTGTTTCGCAGTGGTTGTAAACTGCACCATTCTACGCATCCCATTCTCTTGTTGTTTCGCCTCTATATGAACACCACTCTACTATTAAATCCTTGTGGAAAGTCAGCGCTCTTTTCTGTCCTCTTTTCTTTGCTTCTGTAGTTGCAGTGTAATTACTTCTAAGTTTTGCTATTCGCATATTCAGTTATGTCCTACCAATTTGCCCAAGTTTCCACGCTTCACCAATAATTCTTAGTGGGGTTATTCAAGCTATGCCGTAACGCCTGAGGAGCAAATGCCCACAAAGCGCCAGGGCAGCAGCGTAGCATTCTAACATCAGTTAGTGCTTGAAAGCATTCTGTAAAAATGAGCGCGAATATCACTAAGGACGAGAATAGAAAGACACAGTACGAGCACTCTGAAACAAATGAAGCTTTATGGAACAAACATGAACACATGGTGTTTATCTACATTATTTCCGATTTCGTTTATTAAAAATTCAGTTATTTGTCACCTCTCGTGCTGGACCCTATTCTCGTGATCTAGCCTATTTGGTGTGATTTGTACAAGATAAATAAAGCTAAAGGAGCCCACGACTTTACGTTATTGCTCGGAAGCAAACCTTAGTGAAGAGCTCGAATTGAACAACTGTATTCTCTTTTCAAAATGGTTTCGTTAAACTTTTTCTGTTCGTATTGACCTTGCGGTGCCCGACGTTCAGACGTAAAAGCTTCAGTAAAGACTGTTATCTAAGCAGGCCAATGAGATATTTTTGCTTGGCATAGCAGGAAATAGATAGTCGGGGTTCACAAGTAAAAGAAAGCAAGAATGCTTAGCATTCATTAGCTAGGACCACCAGACACAAGACCATGTTGATTGGCGAATCATGAAGGAGGCGTTTGCCCTGTAGTGTGTGTAGTCAGTTTCATGGTAATAATGACCACCAGATAGCTGTCGTCATTGCTTAGCTTCGCACAAAGCTATTTTTAAGTAAACATGCGTGAAACTTACCCGAAAGGCGTCTGCAGGTCCTCGTTGATTCGAGAGTACGCTGCCGGCCACCACAGTTGCAAGTGCCAAGCATGCTACGAGGTTCATTGAAGCCATTTCTATGTACCAAGTTTCTTCGATGCTTACTCTTTCGCGGAAAACGTCAATCTGGTTTCGTGAAAGGTGTGCGACGTCTTTTAAGTATGACAGTGGGAGATAAATGTCTCGAGAGGTTCGAGCTCACCGTTTCGGCATATCGGCAAGAACAAGCCCATAGGCCTCTCCGCGTCAAAAAGTGACACAAGCAGCCACTTTAAGTGTCGTTGCTCTAGCAACCGTTTATCTACTCGTCGTTAACATCGGCATGTTTGGAACATATCGCGCTTTGGGCTATCTTGTGTTTTCAATACCTGGATATTCGATGAATTTTAAGTGACATCAAAGCACCCTTTGTAAACAAGGCACTACAGATGTCGTATTTCCTTCTATTTGCCTGGCCCGACGTATTATGAAAATAATTTATTTTATGAATATCTTTAACTCCCAAAATGTCATGAAACCGCGAGTAAACAGGACAAAAATGTTGCCAGAGAAGTGCCGAACACGTAAAACAGTCACGAAAAAAGCTGCTAGATCGTATAGCTTCTAAACTCTCTTGAGGAAACTCATACAAGTACAGTTGCGAGAGCCTACTACACCATAAATGATAATTATTTTGGGAACTAGGAAAGCAGCAACACTGACGAAAACATTTATATGCAGAACAAAAAACAAGATGTTTAACGGATACTAATCTGTTACACATATTTAAAGCATTATATAAACATTTTGTGATGGCTGACGACGGTTAAATTTGGCACACCCTTTTGTATTTAGTTGAAAGCTTCAAATGGTTGACTCACTGCGCAAGTCGCGTCCTGTGGCACCTATTTGTTATTTTACTTCCCTACTACGCTATATTACATATTGTATCTTGATTCCTTCCCCGTCACAACACATGTACAATGTATTTTTGTGAAATCATTCAGACCACCTGTGCAGCTGGGCGGTAGCATCATGACTTGTCACGCAGAGAGTCCAAGTTCAAAGCCCTTCAAACCCAGGGTAATTTTCTCTCATTTATTTTTTCTTCAATTCGCGCTGCAGTAGTTACGGAAAACGACGTTGGCGGACAACGTTGCCAGAATCAGCTCCTGCTGCGATTCCAAAAGAGCTTTTACACAAAAATTGTTATTTTAACAGCATTGCTCAATCGTATACAAAATTTTTCTTACTGCATGAATGGCTGCTGCTTAAGTATGTGCAAGATAGGTGTGAATAAATAGTGAATCAGTAAAATAATGTCGACATTAATAGTGACATTCCTCAACATCGTCAATTTACTGTAGTATTTCAGCAGCCCCACTACGACACATTAGAATAGATTCGCACATCGATTAGGGGATGTAATATATGGCTCAACGTATTCAAATGACATGGCCAGTTTTCGTGTGCTTAGATGATCAGAATAAGAGCTACATTTTCCTGCTTATTCTAAGCCTAGTAAAGGCAGTAGTGAAGGCATGGTGGGATGAGTCTTACTTCTTTGCATTTTCAGTTTTTGGACTTTGAAAAACTAAAACCTCACTCCAATTCACGTCACCTGACACAAATTTAGAGTGTATATTTTGAGAGAAGTAGATATTTCGACCACATAGTAAAACATTTATCGAAAATTCACCATAATTTTCCTAGAGTGGATAAGCGTTAACTAGCCAAAAAAGGTTGCACCAACACCCAATGAGAGGCGTGATGACATATAGTTTATTTATTTGTTTATGCATATTTTCCAACTGTACAGCTGAATTTTCAGGGCTATAGTCATAGAATTTCGGAAACCATTACCTAGAGGGGAATTTGGCGCCAGTAAACTGGCGGATGCAAAAGAATGCCGGGACATGTTAGCTTCAAGCTAGACGCGGACTACTTTGAAGGCACGTCTGGCTTCACGTTAAAATAGTTGATTTCTCACTACCAAGGAGGTTCTATACTATGTCTTCTGGAGTGGAGGTGTGCCCCGATAACGGACGCCGGTCACCGTCTTATTGGAAAAGGAACGACTCGGAAGCAGACGACAGAGTGCGCTTCGTAGCTGTGCCCTCGCATTCGCCTTTGACTGTGATATGCTTTTGTAAAGCAGTTAAAGATTTTACAAGGCCATGGTGACTTCGTGCGTCGCTTATGGCTGCACCAATCGCATCAAGAAGACGCCTGGGGTCAATTTTCACGTGTAAGTATACTCACTTTGTTCGCTGACGATCGCCTGTTTTTTCGCGTGTGCTGTTAAATTAAAAACAATATAAAAGTGCGCATACGTGTTATACATGCGTATAGCTGTATGGAAGGTAACGTGAAGCTTCAAATGCTCGCTGACACGACGTTGTCCCTGAGTTGGAGGTTTATGGACGAAGGACTTGCGGTCTGTGGCTGCACGAATCAAACATTGGAACGGGTAGGACGTCTCAGTGCCCTTTGAATTCCAAGTTTTCTTAGTGTTGTCTTACAAGGTAAGACTGACGGCGTGCATGCATATTTTTTGACGAGTGAATATTGAATTTGGTGCATATTTATTGAGAAGTTCGCGAATGTAGAGAACAATTTCATGCCGTAATTATCTGTGTTACAAGTTTCTGAAAGGCAGTACACTGCGTTCTGCCTGGGAACGTGCTGTTCGAAAAAATAGCTTGGGGGCTACGGACGATGATCACCACTATTCTATGCAATTCTATGAATGCTGCTTCAACAGAACGAGGCAGACAACCAGGCTGTGGCCTGGCAGTACAACTTAGATTTTTCCTACTTTCCGAGTGCATCTGCAAATACCTGATCATTTCGATGTCCTCGACGTAGCTTCAATAGAATTTAGTAACAAAAATAAGCAATTGCGTCTAAAGCAAGATGAGACACCTTTGAAATCCGTTCTATCTTGGTGACGAAACCAAAACCGAAACACCGATAGACGAAGTCGCCAAATTGAGTGAATGGCGTTAAATCAAACATCAAGCTACATCGTTTCTTGTCTCTGAAGGGTGCGCTTGCCATGACAACACACGTTGCTAATCGGAAGTTGATAAATATTATGCATAAGTAACACCACTGCAATCGTTCTTATGAACGGTTAAATTGGGGTACGTCTCCTAGAGTTTGTCGGTTACACGCGACATCAGTGCTTCGGTTTTGGTTCCGCCTGTAAATTGGTTAGAATTCTATAACCGTAGAAAAATTACTGGTGACTCCCAGTTTACTTAATTACTTCTCTTTTCTCACTTTACTTTTAATTAGTTCAACTTCCTTATATATATTCACCGGTCATCTGCCGACACGCACACAAGGAACATATATATGAAAGAGGCGAGGAAATGTCCCGTTCCTCTTTATCTTGAGTATCTGCAGGCACATTTTTTAAAACACCCAATATATACTACAACCATTTTGTACCGCAATAGTGCGCATCTCTCGACAACAGATTGATCCGAAAGCGCGCAGCTGCACAATGGGTGCATGAATTAATTTGTTTCATAAACAAAAAGAGGCATTTTTTGTTGGTGTAACCTAAAAGTGGTTTTCATTCCATTTTTTATCGTAGAACTGCAAACCGACGCGCGCAATTCACGTATCCCATTGCGGTCTGCAGCGGTTCCGCCCTGTTTTTCCTCAAGCAATATGGCCACCAGCGGCTTCACTTGCTCCCGTTGGCAGTGGCCGGGACTGCCACTCCAGAAGTTCTATAGAACTTCCTTGCTTAATACAAGAGCACGTATTGTAGTAAGCTCGTATTGTCTTGTCATTGAATAGAAACGTGTTTCATTTAACACTCAAACCATGTGCGTTGGTGTACAGTTTTACGAAGCATAAAAAGTAACCAACAGCCACTAAAATTGACAGGAAAAACACAAAGGAGCATTCTCTCTGCTAATTTATGTCGTCTGTTTCACACTCTCACCGTTTGGTTGTGGCCTTAGGGTAAGTGCACTTTTATTCAAGAATATAATATGCGTGAAATAGATCAGGTTATAGCTGCTTTAGTTTAGAGAGCTTTTTCTACGCAGCCGTATCCGCTTCTGAGCCGAAGCCTCACTCAACATAAGCCAACACAAGCCTCCAGACACACATACCGTCATATACAGAACATTACATTTTCTTTTAGGTACTTTTCTGAAAAACTCTATAGATACAGTGGAAGGTGGCAAAATGGTAAAAAACGACAACTGCCAGTAAGCATGTGTGGCGCAATCAGCCCAATTCAACGAGAAGTTAAGAATAAAAATATAAAAAAACTTATAGTAACGATCAAAACCAGAGAGCATATACAAACTCAGCACAGGCTTACAGAGTGTAGCCACATGAATACTTCAAAAACATGTCTCTTGTAAGTTGTTAATGAACGGGAGTAGCCTGATATGTTCCTTCAAATTTTTGTGGCGCAGGGGCAAAATCATCTTTCAGAAAGTGTCTGAGAATGAAACACAGATATGGTAAGTAAATAAGTGCTTTATTTCATCCTAAATCTGGTGTTTGTTTGGCCGCTGTTGCATGCTTACTTAAAAAATAATTAAGTACGTTACTTGTTACGCGAACAAAAAAAAAAGGGATGCGTTATGAGTCTGCTTCACCTACAAAAAGGTAACGTGCTAACGTTAAAACTATCCAAAACAGGCCCACAATTTGAATGAATGCACGCTATACACAGTAAAGAAGTACTAATATTGAAATGAAATATTCGTACTGAACATAATACCTGAAACCGACAATATTTTAACTTAAATACCGGTATAGCTAGAGAGCTTTGAAAAAGTGCGCTAGACATTCGCAATATCATAGCGGCCAAATGTTTGCTGCAGATTTAACTAGGGTGAGTAATTTTGTGGCTCATTATATACTTATTCTTTAATCACAATAAACGAAAGACGAGATTTAATCACCAATGTTCTCAAGTAAAAAAAAAAACATAGCTGATCATTGAGGAGGAACAGATCAGGTGACGGGATGAAGAATAGGCACAAGACAGCACTGACTATCGACTGATTTCTTTGTTTTAAGTGCGAAGTGTATATATAACGGCGAGAAAATTATGAAAAATGACACAAAGGTTACTGAGTGGATTGGCTGGCAGAATTTCTGTTCATTTTGATCAGTGTGTACAGGTGCTTATGGTT